GGGGCTCCATCCCAGGACCCTGGGATCACGACCTGAGCCGAAGGCAGATGCTTAACTGACTGAGCCATCCAGATGCCCCTCTATTTATTTTTAGGATTGAATCTTTTCACTCAGTCTTTGTCTACTTAGCATTATCATGCAATAATAGCAGCTTGCTGATGTATCATATCAAAATGTTTCTCACTATTTCCTGTTTCTCATTATCTGTTGCTTATTGCAGTTCTGTTTTTTAAAAGTGTGTATTTGGTTGCTGTGTGAATTGGGATACAGGCACCCAGCATTTTTACCTTTGAATGAACTTGCTTATTTCTCTTAATACTTAAAAGCAAATTTAATATACTCTGTAAATATTTACCTTTTTTCCCCCAGCCAAATAGGCATGGCTCATTTCAGACTATTCTTTTACGTTAAATCCAGTATTTCCCAGAGTTGCTTCAAGAAGGAGCAGCCTGGGAAGCTAATTCTGAGTCAGGCTGCCTCTGCTGACTTTGTTTCGAAGGGTACTTTTGCCTACTCAACACAAACTTGGAAAATATTGGTGGAGCTATTAAATGTCATCATTTTTTCTTTAAGCTCTCATAAAATACGGAACATTAATTGGATAGTTTGTGTTCGTCTGCACCTGGAGGTTGTGCTTTCTCTCCGGAGGGCCTTGTCCCTGCTCACCTCTGCGGGTTTCCCCTTTCCCTCCTTGCTGTTCACTTGTTAATTACAACTGTATATAATTTTTGAAACTTATTTTGGATGGTTTTTTGTTATAGTTGGTGATTCAGATTTTTACATTGTTGTTTTTTTGTGGATCCTGCTATCTGGAAGCTTCCTGTCTTCTCTTCCCAGCATTTGACAAAACAGATTATTTTAAGTATAGTGAGAGAATAGAATGAATCAATAGCTTTGTACTCAGCTATATGTAGATCTTTAGCTTTTAAGCTCAGTTCGTTTCAACACTTGTAAGTAAAGAGAGATTAAAATAGACTCAATCTAAGAGAGGGTTGTCTTAACAGTGTATTTTGTATGAGACCCTAATCCTGTTCCCCTTCTCACTAAGTGAATTTCTATAGCAATTAAAAATAAAATAAACTTTAAAAGTATCCATCCTTGCAGACGTTTACGGGCTAGTAATAAAAAGTGAATGACACAAGAATTTAGCAGGAAATACAAAGAACAAACTGAAACAGGGGGACGTAAACCACTGCCTAGGGGTCAAGCATGCCTCCCTGCCCCCGGTTTTGTATGGCCTGTGGGTCAAGAATGGCTGTTATATTTTTAAACTGTTAAACAAAATCAAAAGAAGAATGATACTCTGTGACATATAAACTAGTAGGAAATTCTCCTTTCCATGTCCAAAAATAAAGTTTCATAAGAACACAGCGACTCGGGTGCCTGGGTGGCTCAGTGGGTTAAGCAACTGCCTTCGGCTCAGGTCATGATTCCGGAGTCCTGGGATCAAGCCCCACATCGGGCTCCCTGCTCCTTGGGGAGCCTGCTTCTCCCTCTCCCTCTGCCCCTCCCCCTGTTGTGCTCTCTCTCTCTGTCTGTCAAATAAATAAAATCTTAAAAAAAAAAAAAAAAGAATACAGCCACTCGTACGCTTAGGTATTATCTCTGGCTCCTTTTGTACTATGACAGTGGAGTAAAATATGGCCTGCGAACTGGAAATATTTACTGTCTGGCCCTTGATAGAAAAAAGTTAGCTGACCCCTGGACTGAGCAGTTGATTGTACTTGTGGTAGCCCATGTTCAGCCTTGTAAAAATCATCAAAAAGTTCATTTTGTTTTTCCTGATAACCGATCTATTTCTCCACAACATTTTGATGAGATAATGACTCTGGAGCACCAATTCTGTCTATTCAAGTTCATTTACCCTCCCAAGGAATAGTTGGGGGTGCAGAGAGCCATAAGTGAATGCACATTTGCAAATGTTGATTCACTTGTTTTATTCTGTGAACGATGAAATTTAAGAAGATTTTCGTTTTGATTATTTTGCTACTACGTTTGACTCCTGTCATTTGTAAAACCATACACACTGACACACCAAACCTTCCATGCCCGCAGAGAGCATGTTAGCAGATTCGGTGTCTCTGCTTTATGGTCATCAAAAAAGCACAGAACTAACCTCTCAGGTGACTACCCTTCACTGAATCCCTCCCTGCTCCTGGAACAACTGGGCAGATCCATTAACTACCGTCCAGTTTTAAGCAAAGGTCACTCGGGCCAATTTGGGGTGACTGAAGCATTCATAAAAGAAAGGAGAAGAGTGTTTTCAAAATGTAAACACAGGATCTTTTTAAACAACAGTTGTTGGTTTGTTGCTGTTCTTTTCTGATATTTGCTGCTCGTTTATATGTTACTGTTTCCTACTAGTGTATATGTTGCGAAATATCCCATCAGGGGCCAGATGTCCCCCCACCTCCTGTCCCAGTGGCCCTTCAGTCTCAGGCCATCCTGGATATCTGCTGCTGCCTTTCTCTGGGCTCTGCTTGGTCCTGTTCTGCTCTCCCCGTTCCTGGTCAGGATCCGTCACTGTGCTGGAGCGTGGCAGGCGTCATCCTGCGAGATGCACAGACGCAGCGTCTGTTTCTGCCTTTCTCCCTTCGACCGTGTTTCCCACCCTCCATCCTTGGGAATAAGGACTTCCTTGCAGCCCAATGACAGGAGATGGTACCCCACGCGAGAGCCCTGGGTACCTGGGACCGGAGGGCAGGGAAAGGAAAGAGAGAGGCCGGCAGAGAAGTGGGAGCTGCCGGGGAGAGGCCTTGCTCACTCTCCAGTCTGTCTGCAGAGGAGCCCATCCCTCACTTCTGTGCGTTTCTTCAGAACCGTTTTCTCTTGTGTCTTCATGTGGGAGAGGGCGGAGGAAACCACAGTTGGGGGGCATTTGTGACGTCACAGGCACAGTGGTGCCTCCTTATGGTTACAGCCTTTGACGTGGTGGGTGCGTGTGTCCCCATTTTGCAAGTGAGCAAACCGGGCCCGGGCCTGGTGGTAGCCTCTCCACAGTCGCGAGCATCGGGGGGGGGGGGCTACTGGATCTGAGGTCGGGGGCAGTCATCATATAGCGGCCAGCAAGGCCCACGGCACACATGGCACCTTCATGTTGGGTCTTCATGCCCTGCCTTCCAGAAAGGAGCTGATTTCACTTAGACTCGAGGGGGCTGTTATGGGTAGGCACATCCTTATCACCCAGGGAATGCTGCATGGAGAAGCAGGGCTCAGTGGGAGAAGAGCTTCCAAAGACAGGGTTCTCAGGGGACTTTGTTCAATGTCTCTGTTCAGCAGAGGTCAGCAGGGCCGAAGTCATGGGTAAAGAGCGGCTGAACCAGCTGAATACATTTATTCCCCAACAATGATTGGAGCCTCCTATAATACGAATTAAGAACATGATCAGTGCGGGTGGGATGACTTGAATCCCAGTATAAAGGTGTTCACTTTATTATTTAGAAATTCTTGAAATGTCTTCAAATTATTATGATTACTTTTTTGTTGTTTTTCACAAGCTGTGCCATGCCATGTCTTTAGTACAGTGTGTAGACCTTTAAGGTTTGACTTTTTAAACTTGCTGTGGTGCTAAGTTTCTAAGACTCATTCTGGCATTTTAATAACTGTGTTCCTATAATTCAGATAACTTCCGTATGCTGCTTTAATTCTAAAATGTGTGAGGTGCCTGCAGGATGGCTCTCCTTGCCTTGTAAATAAGGGCCATCCTCACTTAAGCCCTGTCAGGTGACCTTCCTGTGTGAAGTTGCTCCTCATGTTACCGCATGTGCTAGAACAACCCACATTCCTCTCCTCTTCCCCTGCTGCTGGCCTCCCCCTAACATTGCCGTTGCATTAAAACCACACTGAGCTCCACCATGAATTAGGTGATGGGTATTTTGCTCCATTTCTTCACTTCCTAGGAGGCTCTTCATGCCTTCTCTGTGTATTTAATGTCTGTCCTTTCAGGAAGCCCTGCCAGATGCTGCCTCCTCCATGATGTCCTTCCTGATTTCCTCCTTCTCCACTCCTCTAGAGCTTGTCTGGGGCCTCATCACACAGTGTCCTATGTTAGAGTAGGTCATAAACACATCAGTTCCTTTGCCTTGATTAGATACTCTGAGCCTGGAGATCATGGTGGTTTATATCCCTTAAGCAGTAATTACGTGAAGTGCCTTTGAAGGATTGATTTGGTTGTCTCTGAAGGAGCAGACCTCTGAAAAATTAAACATACTCAGCATTCCAAGTGAAATAGTCTGAAATTTAAAACAAAAATTTAAAAGACTATTTATTTGAGAGAGAGAGAGAGAGAGCAAGCACATTCAATGGGAGGGGAGCAGAGGGTGGGGGAGAGAGAATCTCAGGCAGACTCGCCACTGATTGCAGATCCTGACGGGCTTAATCTCACGACTCTGAGATCAGGACCTGAGCCGAAATCAAGAGTCGGAAGCTTAACCCACTGAGCCACCCAGGCGCCTCTGAAATTAAAAATATTAAATAAGTTGCAAACTCTTATCAAGCCCGGAGGGGACAGTGGTAGCCTGAAAGCTGGTGTGTGATCCGGCCACTCGACAAGAGCCTGTATCTCTTTGAGCCTCAGTCTCCACTTAAATCAAAGAACTTAAAAAGGTGAAAATAACTTCCCTGCCTCCTTCTTAAAGTTTTTATGAGGATGAAATGAGACGTCACCTTTGAAAATGTGTTGGAAATCACAAAACTGCCTCAAATATAAAATCGCAAGGTCTTATTTGAGAAAACTTCATTGGAATCTAGACAACAGCTGTGCTGTGTAAGTATGATGTACCTGTATCATTCAGCTTCTGATGTAAAATTGCATTCATGCCTTGCCCGTGCTTCGTGAATAGTTTTAAGGTCATCTGACTTACGTCGTTCTCTGTAGCCAGTTATGCTGACCTGGGAGGTTTTGAAATAGAATCTATCCGTTCCAGCAAAGAGAACCAATTTATCTTCACCCTAATTCTTGCACACCCCAAATGCTTTGTCTTTATGTTTTTCCTTCACAGGCTTCCACCTGTATCACAAGTTGCCCACAATAGTGCCTGAGAGCTGCCTTCTTATAATGGTTGGCCTGCTGCTAGGAGGGATTATTTTTGGGGTCGATGAAAAGTCCCCCCCCGCAATGAAGACTGATGTGTTTTTCTTGTATCTCCTGCCACCCATCGTGCTCGACGCGGGCTATTTCATGCCCACTCGCCCGTTCTTTGAGAACATTGGCACCATTTTCTGGTATGCTGTGGTAGGGACCCTTTGGAATTCCATTGGCATTGGGGTGTCTTTGTATGGTATCTGCCAAGTTGAAGCCTTTGGCCTGAGTGACATCACTCTGCTCCAGAATCTGCTCTTTGGCAGCTTGATCTCAGCTGTGGACCCAGTGGCTGTGCTCGCCGTCTTCGAGAACATTCACGTCAATGAGCAGCTCTACATCCTGGTCTTTGGAGAGTCCCTGCTAAATGATGCAGTGACAGTGGTGAGTAACATGTTCACGCTGTGTCACTCCAACACCACCAGCCACTCTCAGTCTGCATCAGCTTTCTGACAGTGGCAGCCAAGGGATGAACCTGCAGGCGTCACCTACACCTGCACAGTCACGCAGCCCTGCTCTCAGACGGGCCCCTCACTTGGTTTAATGCTCTGTCATTGCGGTCTTGAAATGCTTTGTGAAATTTTTTTATTGATTATTTTTTATTTATTAGTATACAACGGGCACCTCATTTTCGGTTGCACAGACGGTGTAGCTGGTCCCTGCTTGCAAGGTCCTGCTGGTACCAGAGGAGCATAAAAGTGATTGTGACCTTTCCTATCCCTGAGGCTTTCTCAGTTGGCATTTTCAAAAGTGGTGGTCTTTGATCAGAATTAAAGGACTTCAGGTCCTTCGGAATTCTCCACGCAATGTGATGCTGTCAGGAGTGAACATGTATAACAGAAGCAAAGTGACAGCACCCACCAAGGGCCATTCTGTGTCTGGGGAGGGTTTATTAATTATTTTATGACTTTAAGCCAGTTTTTCATTACACTCTCACTTTCTGTTACTACTCATCTAGCTTATTTCTGGTCCCCACCATTCCCTTAAGTGGGTATTCAGAAAATGCTCATTTATTTTTGATTCTCACTTAATTAACCCATAATTAGAGTCAGAGGCTGTTGGGATCTTCATGTTCGCAGAATTTACCTCCACCCTGCTTTCTGAGCTCAGGCAAAGTATAGAGCAGGGATGAGGAAGCGTCTCCCCCACCCACGGGCTTACAAAATGCTCTTCCCCCAGTGAAAGACACTCCGGTGACCCTGTGTGGGGAAACTGGTGAGCGAGCACCAGTGATGCTGTTTTATTATGTTAGCCACCATTCCGTGGAGGTGATGGTGAGAGTTGTTTAACGGAGCCATTAACCTCTTGTGAATGCCTACCTTGTGCTCGGGTCTTTGTGCAACCTATGTAGAAATTATTTTTCCCATTTGGTAGGTAAGAAGGTTGAGGCAGAGAAAAATTAAGTGTTTTTAAGTGACTTAACTAATTTATATTACCCCTTCATTAGTTCCTCTCATTAAAATATTATTCCCGATTCACTCAAAAGTTAGCATAGAAACCAGCATCACTCCCCATTAGCTTATGAACAGAATAAAATTTCAACTTGAAGGATGTCCCTTAGCTCCATGTGGACGTTATTAGGTAGAAAGTAATTTATTGATAAGGAAATCCCATTTTTTAGAATAGCTGCTAAGATAGCTGTTTTGAGGCAGCTAAGGTACCTCACTCAAGTAACAAAATACACTTCACTTATTCCATTGTGCATTAACAGTGATTAGTCATTAACTTAACAATATTAAATTTTAACTGGGAAAGTACCATAGCAGTGAAGACATTTTATAATTTATTCTAATTTCCAGAGACTTCAAGGTTTTCATTGTGACTTACGTTTGCTATATATATACATGTTACCCTTGTTGAGGTAGATCATGGACATTTTCATGAGGATTTCTTGGATCCCCTTCGTGTGTAGGAAACTTTATAAAGAAATAATAACGCCATGCTGCACTCCTTCTGGGCAGTCTAGCAAAGCCAGCTCAGTTTTAGAGTGCTATGCCCTGCCTTTACACTGCTCTCTCGTCTCTTAAATTTCTTAGTCAGACACCTCAGTGTCCATTCTTTGAGCTTGTCAAGAATCAGATCTGAGGAGACAGTTTGGCTAAACCACATTCAAACTGTGTGAAGGCCCCAGGCTCTCCAGGGGCATATCGGTGCTTCCTGTCAAGAGGCCCCAAGCCGTCAAATATGATTTTATGGACAGAGAGGGAGGCCTGATCCAAAGAGGGCAGTGGGCCAGATTGAGGGCACCACTCCAATACAGGAAGGGGGGCAAGGACAGTGAAAGGACATGGCTGCTCTTTAGATGTGGAATCTCTTGTTGCAAGGCCAAAGCTTGTAAGTCAGAATGACTGTAACGGTTTCCAGTGAATGAGCTTTCCTCAGGTTAGATACCCTGGGCTCAAAGCTTGTGGACCCTTAAAGCCACACCCATAAGATAGCAGGGCATGCCCACGGGTTTTACCTACCTAAAGCTGAAGAATAAACCACCAGGTATTATATTCCTTGAATTGGCTGAATAGTGGACTGAACGGGTCTGGTGTTAGGAATAATTAGAACATTGTAAAAAATGATCGTTTGCCTCCTTGTGAGGTACCCTCAGAGTACAGAGGTTGAGATGTTTTGTGGAAGATTCTTTGACGTCTGGTCTTATCTCTAGGAGAGGTTTAAGGAACTCACGGGGTAAGGGAAGGCATGAAAAGTATGGACCCTGCTGCCTACAGGGAAAATGATGAGTCACTAGGAGTTGCAACTAGAAGGGTGAAGATTAAACAGAAAAGATTCGTGTTAAAAATGTAGTCTGGAGGATGAGTAAAATTATAGGTTCATGCAATTACTTCTGTCCCCAAATCATGGGAGATTGAATATTGAGGTAGCAGAGTGAAGGGGAGAAAACCTACCATAAAAATGTCTCAGTGCAAAGAGAAATTGATAATATATAAATTGCCGTCCAACTGTGCCTGTGTCCAAGGTTACAGTAGATTGGAATCAACTAGACATGACAGCTGAAGGAACAAAGGTCAGATTTTTAAATGGGATTTTTGTGCTTTCCCTTAGTGTAAATTTTAGGCAAAGATTGCTTAGGTTCTCAGTTATCAGATCAGTCCTGCCACTCCACAGTAGTCCAGAATCAAATGGCTTATGTTCGTATGGTAATTTCCAACATCATTTCTAGAACATGTTAATTAATGCAACCATTGAATAATCTAATACATTTTCCAGGAACACTTAAAGAATTTCCTCAGTCTGTCACAATGAGGCTTGGTTACGGAACCAGGCTCGGGGTGGGCTTTATGGTCCAGGCATTATGTGCTGTGCACTGGAATTTAACTTCAGGAAGTTGGAAGATAAACAGTAACCACTTGGTACTCATTTTTGCTCTTGCAAATTGCATAATATATTTTAAATTCCTTAGGGAAAAATGGTTGTTTCTTGTATTTCATATAAAAAAAAAAGTGACCCGAAAACTAATTTTTTCTGGAACAGAGCTATTCTGATAAAGAATTCTGTATCATTTGCATCTTTGTGTTACATGATTTCACTGAGTTCTTGCACCTTTTAAATCAAAGGTCCAAATAGATAATTTCTAATTCTTATAACACATAACTGTTTTAGGGGTCTCATACTCTACCACCTGAGCTCGCTGGGTGCTTGTATACGTATTTTAAAAATCACAATAATGAGTAGAATGATTTGAAAGTGCTTTTCCTTTCCCCTTCCCTCAATGGTCAAATTAGCCCACTACAAAATATAGGCAGCGCTCGTATTTCGGTCTTTGAAAAATGCAGTTGACAAGTTGAGATCAACTTTACAGAGACCAGCTGGAGACATAATTGTAGTCAGCATGCATAGTACATATGCACATGCACATGCATATATAAATTATAACTCCAGAAGCACTTTCTGACATAGATTCCCTTGTGATACCATTAAAGCATTTAATGTGAATGAGCTAACTATGGGTTATAGCCAGTTGTAACTAAAAGAATTTTATCTTGTGCTGATCACTGGGTATCAGGTTCAGTGTAAAGCAGGTGGGAGGGTGTGGAAAGCCTTCTGGTTGTCAAGGCAACGTCTCTACCTAAGACATTGCCCTGTAACAGTGACTTGGCCTCCGAGGCAGTAGAATGGTCAAACTGGAGCTTCTCCCCCGTGTGCTGAAAGTACAGTGCCTGTGACTCAGCTTTGTTCTCTGCAAAACCCGAAGAGCTATTGAAACCAGCATGTCTCTTTGATCGGTTTGATGGATTGAGTTGCCAGGAAAATGCCTCTGGAAAATCCATGACTGTATGTCAGTTGTTCCTCAGGGACACAGGCCTGAGCCTCCTTTGGAGGCCTCATAAAAGTGCTCCATGGGATGGGGAGGGGAGAGCCGAGGGAGGAGGAGGAGGAGGAGAAGATCTGGGTCCTGTGCATGAGCACTCTCTAATTTTGCTGGGGCAATGGGGTAGGCACCCAGGAGGCAGCGTCCACGTGGGAGATGATATGTCCCCGAAGCCTGACTGGTTTGGGAGATCATCTTTGTTGCGGGAGGGCAGAGGTGAAGGTGATTTTCGGGGGCTGTAGGAGTTCAAGAAGGCTCTTGAGAAGAACAGTGGGTTCAGCTGGGCCCTGGAAGATGGATAAAGTTTCCCGGGGTGTAGGGACTGGTTTCCTGCCAAGAGAAACCACAAGAAGGAAAGCAGGAGCAGTGGGGAATTACGGTATTATGTTTTGTGGAGCTGTGATGAGTCTCTCTCCCAGACTGAAGGGTGTTGGAAAGCAGTAAAAACAAAACAAATAAAAACAAAACAAAAAAAACCCAAAACAACAACAACAACAAAAGCCAGGTGTATTGAGCCTTCCCAAAGTCAAGAATTTTAAACTTGAGAGTGACAAATGGAATAGCAGTATTTAAAGGAAGTGAGGCCTGTGTTGGCTGTAGGGGTCATTCGAGCCAGGGCGATTTGCTGGTGCAGGTGGGAGTCAGGGCAGAAGCCTGGGAGTCGGGGGACAGAACTGCAGTGACCAAGTGGCCTGGGGGAGGAGGGAGGCTGTGCAGAGATAGCTGGGGTTGGGGGGCGGGCGAAGCCTGCCTCTCTCTTCTGGCAGCAGGTGACCGTCCCCCCTTCGGCCTTGGCTGTTTGGAGACAAGGGGTATGTATAGCACATCTCTGATCCCGACTCCGGAAGCGACCACGGCTTGTTGAGGCTGACAGAATCCCACGTGCAGCAGGCCTCTGGTTGGAAGTGGGAAGCAGCAGCTACTTGAAGTCAGTTTCTTTTCTGGCAAATGATGATACTCTCAACGTATTTAAATCCTCAGGGGAAGGAGTTGCTTTTTTTTTTTTTTTCCTTCTTACTCAAGTCATTTCCTGGTGGTACAATACCAAAATGCTCTCAAATGTCATACCTGCGATTACGAGAAAAGAAAAGCTCATTCATTTCTAGTCCTAATCCACTGCTTTCTTCAAAGCCAGCAGACCTTTATTGTCTTCTCCCAGGCAGCATGGAAAAAACAAATCATAATAAGGAATGAACCTTGACCACGATGAGTTCATGATCCAGCAGAAAAGAGGGAAAAATGACACAAAACCTGCAAATGTGGTGGGCTCTGACGGACCTTCAGGGAGGCGAAGAGTGGAATCGACTTTCGCCAGATCCCATACTGGCTAGCAGGGTCAGAACCTGACTCATTCTCCCATGCCTGGACCTTGAAAAACTTACCCAGAAGGTCAGGAGACCCGGGTTCTCGTATCGCGTCTGACATTTGGTGTGACCGTGGACAAAGGGGTTCAATCTGAGTTTCTCAGAAACCGAATAAGGGTGTAGCATGGCCTATACCGTAAAAGGCCTCATCCCAGTGTCCTGACAGCCAGCTTTCCTGGACATTCTGGCTCTAAATAACCCAGTGAGAAGAAGCAGGGCACCCGCTGGACTCCTGTTTCCTTTGCTGGCTTTGTGAAAAATGTGGTAGGGCACCAGCCGTCACTTCCTGTCTCAGCTGGGTCCTTAGAAACACGTTTGCAAGCAGATTCCCAGCAGACGTGAAGTGCTGAGCATTTTTGAAGCTTAATTAAACGAAGACTATGTAAAGACTGTGTGGATGTTTCAGAAGTCAAGCAGCGGCGTGGGCTCATTCCTTTAGAAGAGGGACAAAATATGTGTGAAATTACAGCATATATACACAAAACACACACACACACACACACACACACAACACAGGTGGCTGCCTCTTTGCTTTAAGAAAGTTTGCTTCGGGTCTCATGTTACAGCAGAGGTGTGTGTGGGGGTGGGGGCTGGAGTGAGGAGGGAGGACCTCAGTGCCCTGGGAGGAAGATATCTTCAGGTGGGCTACCTGTGCTGAGGGCTGGGGCCCCTTCCGTGGCACGACCCCACCAGAGAGCCTTGCAAAGTAACTGACTTCACAGCAGCACTGACCAGCTTTCTCTGTGACCGATTCCTTCCCCAGCATCGGTGACACAAGCAGGGTCTGTTGGATGGCAACCAAGTCTTTTAAGATTATCTTTTAGATGGTATCAATCTGAATACAGTTATTGCCACTGGTCATCAACTTGAGGGCACAGAAGAAATGTCCTTGTTAGGAGGCCAGGTGGATTCTTCTGTGGCCGCAGTGAAAACGGGGATGTTGGAAGGGGTCTTGACCACGCGTTCTCTTTCTCCCACAGGTCCTGTACAACTTGTTCAAGTCTTTTTGCCAGATGAAAACCATTGAGACCATTGACGTGTTTGCTGGAATTGCAAACTTCTTTGTTGTGGGAATTGGTGGGGTGTTGATTGGCATCTTCCTGGGATTTATAGCGGCATTTACTACTCGGTTCACGCATAACATCCGAGTGATTGAGCCACTCTTTGTCTTCCTGTACAGTTATTTGTCCTATATAACAGCCGAAATGTTTCACCTCTCGGGTATCATGGCGTAAGTATTCACCTCTTTGTTAAAAGTACTGAATGTGGTGACATTTCATTCAATTTATGTATTCTAAACTAAGATGTTAAGGTCACGTAAGTTTCATAAAAGAGGTTTTCTTAAATTCTTTTCAGAAAAATTGAAAATGGATTTTCCCGACTCTTTGTTTCAAAGAAATGAAGACACTCAGCCAAATTTATACTAAAGCTATCTGGTGCTAGAATGGGAAACTACTTAAGAATTATCTCTGGGGTCTCGTATGAAATATGACAGTAAACTGTTGGGGTTGATTGTCAGGCACCAAGAATTTTCTGAGTTTGACGCCCACTCAGGGTAGTCCGTGTAGGAGGCTCTCCGCTTACTCCAGCAAGGTCATCTCACCTAAACTGCATCTGGAATTCTGGAATTACTTAGGATATTCATTTGAATGACATTAGTGGTAGGGAACCTTCACTTTGTATGCTAGATTAGATTTGAAATAATGGCGTTAAGTCATTCAAAGCAAAATCTAATGAATAAGGCATGTCATCATGTCATTCTGGCTTAGCTTTTTGAATAAACAGGCATGATTATAAAGCAAGAAATTCTGTATCACGGATACAGTTAGCATATTCACTAACAGATTTGGAAGGATGTTCTCAAGAAGCTCTGCAAGTGGGCTGAAGGAGGGTGGTGTTTGGATCTGATCTACTTCTTCTTTTTTTTTTTTAAAGATTTTATTTATTTATTTATTTGAGAGAGAGAATGAGATAGAGAGAGCATGAGAGGAGGGAGGGTCAGAGGGAGAAGCAGACTCCCCGCTGAGCAGGGAGCCCGATGTGGGACTCGATTCCGGGACTCTAGGATCATGACCTGAGCCGAAGGTAGTCGCTTAACCAACTGAGCCACCCAGGCGCCCCTCTGATTCTACTTCTGAGGGTCACTTTGAAGGAGGCTTCTTGTTGGGTGTGGATGTTCTTGTAACAAAGCTTCCAAAAACAAGCCTATTTTATTATGGTCACACCCCATATAGGGTTGGTGAGAAAAATACTTAGTAATGGAAAGTCTTTATAAGTTTTCATTTTGACAGATAATAATTTACATCTCTAAAGGTGCTGGGCTCTATGCGAGGGCCTGTGACATATCATGTTTTGGTGTGGTAAACATAGGTCTGGTTCTTGAGGTTTTCTCGTGTGGCCTGATTTAGGTGTTGCTTTAAGGGCTATTTGTTTTTCACCTCGTGTCACGGCTTTTGTATCGGAAGCAGATTAGATTTGTGGTGGGAGAGGTCAGATGCCTCTCCCCGAGGAGGGTGGGACCCATTATAATGCAAGCCACGAGTTAAAGGTTGTGTGGTTTTCTGTTTCACGGAGAACCTAAATAAAGCAACATATTAATCCAGTTTGGCCCAGTAATAAAATGTTCTGTATCTTTCTGGTTGCTATTCATATCATTTGTATGACTTCCAGTTTCCTCACGGTTCTTTGACCAGTGTCATTGAAAGTGTGTGATCAGCGAGTTACAAGGTCTTTCCAGAATAGTGGGGGTGGGACTCTGTGTCTGGTGTTTTAGCAATATTCTAACAGCAGTTTGCGGAAGGACCTTGAATCTGTTTTGACCACGTGCATAAGTAAAAGTTCTAGAACGCCCACACAGTTGTCTCAATATGTGTGTCAGTTGACCTGATGTTCATTCAGGGGCAGGAACTGTGATGGGAAGATCTAGAGTCCGGGGGGATAGTGAAAGTGTTGGAAGGGGTTGAGGTTGTGGGTGCATATTGCTTAGAAATGTCCATGAGGGCCAGAGTCCACAGAGCTTGGAGGTTGGTTCTGACCTCCTGTGAAGATGGGATTGTGGGTTTACTTGCTCTGGGAATTAGGAAATAAGGGACAAATGGGACACCATATTCCTGATAAATAGCACAGGTAATTCTCTGTGTGCTTTGTCGGGGGAAGAAAAACATCACCTCTGTTTCCAACTTCAAAGCAAACATTTATTTTACAGCTTAGCGCACAGAAAGATCTCTTTATTACATTTAAACTAATATTGTCACTGCACAGAGTACGCCTAAATCATAAATTAACTGTTAAATAAGATATTACAGGAGGTTTAAACATTTTTGGATCTGGAATTACCATGTACACCTCTTACCCTGTGATAGCCAATGAAGTGTGTTTGTTCTCAGAAAGTAATACCCTGTTTTCTAATGTGAGGTGATTCCTTTGCTATTCAGAACCCACCCGGGTGTGATGCTTCTGTATCACCCCTCCCCCTCCCCATTTGAAAAGTGACACTCCACATCGCAAGTACCTTCCTTACCTTGGGATGTTGGTCCAGAGGATCCACTATAATGATGCAATTAAAATTGCACACTCACGTGCACTTCTTTTATAGAACTAGTGATTTTTTCCCGCATTTAAATTGCACTGAGTTTAGGAATTCCTATCATACTTGATGCTAATTACACTCTTTTGCCATTTGAAAACAAATTTTAAGGTTAATGGGAAGGAAGGCATGTGACATGCTGAGCATGCTCAGTAATTTGCCTTGTTTGCTTAAGAGAAGTGGGTGGCCACACAGAAAGGAAAAGCACTGAGGTTAGGTAGCCGGGGAGCAGAAAGGTTAAAGCCCCCCCGTAAAATAGTGTAGCAACGTGACTCTGTCCTGCGTGAGTTTTGCCGGCTCTCCTCCCTGCCTCCCTCTCCACCCTCCTTCCATCCATCTCTCCTTCCTCTCCCCTCCCCTTCAGATTGCCTTTCAGATCCTGCAACCCTCTGTACCTCCGCTTTGTCTTGGGTGGGCTCTGAGGCAGCCTGTCCTCAACTGAGAGCACTCAACAAGTAGGACGTTAACACAGAAGTCTGGTTAAAAACGTCCTTCCGCAGAACAGAAGGGTTGGGTCTGGGTTCAAAATGCAATCAGCCTTTTAGGTGGGAAAGCTCTGGGCAGGACTTCAGCATCTTGGTTTCTTTGGAGAGGTGTCGGAAGCGATGTACCTCGGGCATTCACAAAGCCCCCAGTGCAGCTGTTTATTTTGTGTCATGGAATTGTGGTGTGATGTCATTTTCACCACCACCAAGTAAGTGAAATAATAGGAGGTGGCGTTCTATCTGCCTTCTCCTCTTCTGTCTTATAAAAAGCTATTTGAAGGGGTGCCTGGGTGGCTCAGTTGGTTGAGCATCCAACTCTTGGTTTCAGGAAAATGCTCAGAGATAAAACATCCTGTTGTCTCCTTCCTTTATGCAAAGACACAGACAGGCTCCCTTAAAAAAAAAAAAAAAGATGATTCCTTAAATGAGAGCCATAATAGGACTTTGTTCCCTTCTTGTGAACAGCAGGAACCTTTTCTGGTCCTCACCTTGTACCCCCACATTCCCCTGTGCTCTAGTCAATGAGACACTGAAAACACAAAGTCATGAAGGAAGGGAGGCTGGGTCTCCACAGCAGCTTGCAGCCTGTGGGGATCGGGGATGTGTGGATTTCTCGCTGAGTTGCTCCAGGAATTTCAAAAAGTGGCTAAGTCATCCTTTGGATAGAAGAGTAGGCACTCAATATTTCTTTCCTTTTCTTTTTTTTAAGATTTTATTTATTTATTTGAGAGAGAGAGAAAGCTTGAGTGGGGAGAGAGGGGGCTGGTGAGGAGCAGAGGGAGAGGGACAAGCAGACTCTGTGCTGAGGGCAGACCCTGATGGATGGCGGGGCTGGATCTCATGACCTGGTAATCATGACCTGAGCTGAAATCAAGAGTCAGAGGCTCAACTGACTGAGTCACCCAGACGCCCCAATTGTTTTTTTTTCCCATGGATTCATAATTCCTTAGTTTTCCTTCTCTTGAGGGGAGTTAAAACGTTTTCCATTTGCTGTTTCAATTATTTCAGCAGCGTTATGGCAAAGAAAGTAGGAAATGGTAAATATTAGTCCTGTCCTACGAATGAGTAAATTGAGGCTCAGATGGGCAAAAAACATGGCTGTGGGTGAGTCTGTGGAAGTTGGGCCTGGACCCAAGTCTCCAGTTCTCAGGCCAGCCAGCACATGTCCCAGCATCCACTTAAAAAGTAAAAACAACACATTTCAGTGAAAATTTTTAAGCGAGAGAGACTTTTAACAGGAATTTCCAGGATGATAAGCTCAGGCATGAAGTCTAGGAGCAAGCCAAGCTCGTGGGACTGAGGCAGTCGCCACTGAAGATGTGAAGACCATGTTCTCTCTCTTTCTCATTTCTCTGTGTATGAGCTGGTGATTGTCATCTATTTCAAACTTTGAGAAAAATAGGAAAGCATGTCTTCATCTGCCATTTTGAATCTTCTGTCCTGGTTCCTCTTGATTGGCCCACCACTGGTAGCATTTAGGAGACCACATCTTTAAGATACAGTCATATGAAATCACAGTCCAGTGTGCCAGAATGTTCCTCCTTACAAAATGTTCACATGTTCTGGTTTTCTCCAAATATGGAAAAAAAATGAACACATGACACTGCAGGACGTTCATAAAACCTTATACAAAGCATCTTCTGTATGTACGGATATATGCATATTTATACGTATGTATGTGTAAGACAGGCTTCTTTCATTCATTTTTTTCCCAGACTTGTCTTATGTTTACTGAATGTTTTTCTTAGTGTAATAATGTGACCTGGAGCTTTAACAAATCGATCTGGATAATGCAACCTGGATAAATACTCGTCTGCCCACAAGTTATCACACACTCCCTGGCTTGGCCTCCATGCAAATCCAATTGGTCTTTTTTTTTTTTTTAAAGATTTATTTATCGGGGCGCCTGATTTTTTTTAAGATTTATTTATTTGAGAGGGCGAGAATGAGAGAGAGAGAGTACATGAGAGAGGGGAGGGTCAGAGGGAGAAGCAGACTCCCCGCTGAGCAGGGAGCCCGATGCGGGGCTCGACCCTGGGACTCCGGGATCATGACCCGAGCCGAAGGCAGTCACTTAACCAACTGAGCCACCCAGGCACCCGCAAATCCAGTTGGTTTTAAGCAGAGAACAAGCAGATCACATTAGCTTATTTCTAGTGT